CGTGTTTACAGTATCATACAGAGTCTAAGGTGGTCGGAATCCTGTTTTTTCCGGAGTTGTCTATATTAAGGTTGGACTTATTGCAATCCAATATGTGTCTTATGCACTGATGAAAGTAAAATTTAACAAGGGTGAATAGACAATAAACGGTGTTATTGAGTTCGTATACAGGTCACCTTATATTAATCACAATATTTATTGGTCAGCACGTAAGTGGACTGGAAACATGATACAGCAATCCGTTGTCAGAGGTTTAAAAACTGTGCTACTAGAATTCTTTCCAGAAAATCATTAGATCTCTAGGTTTTGACAATATTGAAATAATCCAGAAAAACTTCAGAAATCACAAAGAACGCCTAATATCAGCTTGATAATAAATTCGTTGAAAAGAGTCTCTTCGCTGAATATTGTGTTCTTAGAGAATTAAGAGGTGGGAAAATAGACTTAGGTCAAGTTAAAGGGACATATTGAAAGTCAAAATAACAATGAAGATCATTAAACCAAATAACAAAGGTTATAGTGTGGTGAGAGCTGTCTACTAGCCAAATTGGTAGGTAGTAATTTACGTCAACGTTTACGTTCTCAAGATTTGTCGTGAGAAAATATGAACAATGACTGGTTCAAAACCGACCACAGCAGACTTTGCGTAGGCGGATACAGTTAACATGTAGATGATTTGACATTCAAGAAACAGTCACAAATAGATGAAAGATTAACTTTAAGTGAGAAACAACCTATCAGAAGACTGTGTTTGTTTGCTTAACTAATCTATAATAATGTACATGAAAATATATAAATATGCTTTGATTTCCTTAATAAACGATCTGTCGCCTGACCCTTGCCTTCTATTGTTATAATAGTGCATCTGTTATGATATCAAAATAAAGTTTACTTACTTGATCATCGTTCGTCAGTCTGGGGTCATTTTTCATTGTCAAGTTGGTCACGCTATAGAATAAGGCCACAAAATTGATTTTGACAAAATTGAAATCATCATCCAGAAAAAGCATTTCAGAAATCACAAAGAACGCCTAATATCTGAAGCACTTCATGTCAAGTGCAATCCAAATTGTCTGAATAGGAACGATGGACTAAAACAGAATCTGACCTAGTTATAACACCCCCGCCCCACTCCCCCATGATGTGACAAAATCAACACGAATGTAATAAGCAATATCATTATATAAACACACGCTGTTTTATAATTTTGCACACTTATCAAATCCAACAATCTACACTTGGTTTTGCTATCTCTACCAACTGACCAACTTGACAACGAAAAATGCCCCCAGACAGACGAACAATGATCAATTAAGTGAACTTTATTTTGATACCATAACAGATGTACTATTACCTTTGTTATTTGGTTTAGTGATTGATCTTCACTGTTATTTTGACTTTCAATGTGTCTATTTTTAACTTGACCTAAGTCTATTTTCTCACCGCCTAACTTTTTGTTATATATATGCTGAGATTTTGTAAATTACTGTTTAATAATACTTTGATAAAGCTATTAGCAGCATTCAATAGCGAAACGTCAGTAAGAGCAGCAATATCGTTTTGTTTTTCATTCATTGGGAAATACAAGAAAACCTTTATTATAATGAATATCATATATCCAATGCCCAAATTTTTTCAAACTGTTAAAAGTGAACTTGGTTTGGACATATATATCTCTAGGTAAAGTTTAAGAATTGTTTCAGAATGATTGTATGTTACATCGGATAAATTTATGCGGGGCTGCATACCGTCATAGTATCACGTTCTACTCTTCTAGTTATGCTAATCTAATTCTAATGGAACCTACTGAATGGATTTCATTTGAACTTCACTCTGACCATTAAGATATTCTCCAGCAGACAGTTAATCCAGTCTAACGTTAAGGATAAGATACCGCTTTGGCCACTTCATTGTGTATTAATCAGTTTACTTCCATGTGCGGAGCAAAGCATATCGGCCGTACGCAACGTCAAGTCCGCAAACGTATTCTGGAACATTGTCTGGCTTGGTTAGCCAGAGGAGAAAAGAAGAATAGCAGCAGCTCCATCCTCCAACACCTTGTCAACTCTGGACATCGAGCACCCCTGCATGAATGCTTCACAGTGCTACGCAGAGTCCCTCAATATCATACAAAGGGACTTCGCATATGCCATCTGTACATAGCTGAAGCATTAGCTATTCGAGATCTGAAACCACACCTCTGCATTCAAAAGCGATACATACATTCACTCGCCCTACCGTGGCCACAGTAAAGTTCTTACTATAATTTTGCTTCTTCCTTTTTATTATGTAAGTTCACTATTATTATTGTTATTACTACTATTATTTTATTATCATTATTATTCCCATCATCCATATTTCATTACCATTCTATTACTGTTTATTAATAACATTGCTTTTCATACAGGTTTTACATAGAAACACTTTATCGTCTTTCCACTAGTTTCTATCCATTCCACACGAGCTTGTTGATTAGTCATTCTCTCACACTTGTTACGTCATGCCAACTTCTGCCTCTTTTCTAACTCACAGTTAGTCATCCCATCTAGGTTACACCTTGCATTACGTAATGCGTTTTTCGATGACAAAGTTTACCAGTATCTGATTGGTCTAAAGATTTCTTTGTTTACTATAATTACGATTGTACAGCAGCTCATGAAAATGAATCGTCAAAAAGAAAATTCTCTTAGCTGTTTACGCCTTTTTCTTATGACTCAATATGGGAATATTTCGATCAATCAAGATATTTGTAAGTTTTTCAAGTGTTGGTTTGTAGGGATTTGATTGGTTACAGGATTTCATCATGAGCTGACATCAGTTAGAGAACCATTGGAAAACCTGGGAGTACTGGACAGCTGTTTCGTCCTAGTTTGGGACTCTTCAGCAGTACGCACCCACCGGGATTCGAACCCAGGACCTTCTGGTTACAAGGCGAGCTCGTATACCATTAAGCCACTGGGACCCGATCCAATGGTCCATGAATTCTAACTTCTGCCAATTCACGACATAGCGCGACCCCTAGCCAATGTCTTCGGCGAGTATTTGTCCTCACGCCCGACCTGCTGCACCCTACTGGTCACGACTTCTCACTAGAACCCCAGGTGACTACCCACCTGAATAGGGCAAGTCGCTAGTGAGCATCTCATTGATTTTCAAGTGTTGGTTTGTAGGGATTTGATTGGTTACAGGATTTCATCATGTAAGTGTTTTGTAAGTGTTTTCATAAGCGTTACGAGAATTACCCCTTTAAGGTAGTAGTTGATTTATAAATTCATTCTAACGATTTTTCGGATTCGTCAACAATGTCGTGGTCTTAATCGGTGAAGTGTACACACAGAAACAAGTCCTAAATGAATGCGAGATCTCATTAAAATGTAATAGTACAACTCGGTCACAATTGCAGAAAGCACATTTTTACTACTCTGATTCATAAAGCACGTAATAAAAACAATAGTATCAGATAAATGAAATATGACTGTTAGTCACTTGTAAGTATCCAGGACTAATTCTTCAATATTTTCGTTTATAAAACAAAGATTTAATCAGAATCTCACAGTCATCAACCATTGTGAATTGGGAAAATGTCTACCTCATTTGGACTGTGATTTCACAGTCACCGAGGGTAACGCATGCAACAATGGAGAGATTTCTAAACCATATAATATATGTTAATCGAATATTATATACCTACCTGTACCTTTACCTCAACTTTATAGACTTTGGGAAGGCCTTCGACAGCGTTGACCACGAAGTAATTTGTAAACTACTCGAGTACTATGGCGTACCCCAAATATTCATCAACCTTATTCAACAGATGTACGACAAAGGCACATGTCAAGTGATCCACAACGGAAAACTCAGCGAGGCGTTTGCAGTAAACACAAGAGTCAGACAAAGGTGCTTATTATCACCAATGATATTCCTAATTGTGGTGGACTGGATTATGCGTCGTCAGACAGTGGGAAACGAGAAGACAAGGATATCCTGGACCGACGTGAAGAACCTAGAATACCTGGATTTCGCGGATGACTTATGTTTGATGTCACACAAAATCGAAGACTAACTTACAAGCGAAAACCGACAAACTGGTCGAAGAAGCATCAAAGACAGGACTGCAGGTGAATATAGACAAGACGGAGGTTATGAAAATAACCAACCAACAACAACGACAGCAGCAACATCCAGCGCCAATCACCATCAACGGGAGGGATTTGAAAGAGGTTACTTCTTTCACTAATCTAGGAAGCATTGTCTCAACTAAAGGAGGAACGGACGAGGATGTCAAATCGAGAATCAGAAAGGCGAGAAACACATTCATCAACCTGAAACCAATCTGGAAATCTTCGTCACTCAGCATCAATAACAAAGTGATTCGGATTTTCAATACAAACGTCAAGTCAGTCAGTTCTTCTATACGGATGGATCAGAAACTTGGCGGCGGGTCACAAAGAATATTTCCAACAGCCTGTTGCAGACCTTTATCAACAACTGCCACCTTCGCTCCATACTGAAGATCAGAAGGCCGGAAAGAATCACCAACAAGACACTATGGGAACAAACAAAACAAGAACCAATCGCTCAACAAATATGCAGGAGAAAGTGGAGATGGATTGGACACTCGCTGAGGAGGCCGTTGAGTGACATCGCGCGTCAAGCCCTCGAGTGGAACCCGAAAGGGAAGCGGCGAGTGGGACGTCCAAGGGTGACATGGAGGAGATCGTGTGAAGAGGAGTTGGAACAGTATGGACTAACATGGATACAGGTGAAAAGCACAGCAGAAGACAGAAGCAAGTGGAGACGTGCAGTTGAAGCCCTATGTTCCACTAGGAACCCAAGGGAACAATAATAATAATAATACCTGTACTAGTAATATAAATTACCTTAACCATCGTTCAGACGCAAAGCAGATACATTAAGGGAAAAATAACAAAGATAATAGTACAGTTCTTTTTTTATTTGAAAGATAAATTATTATTTTAATTATTATTTACAGTTTTAAGTATACACAGAGTTTACATTCGCTTTTGTATGTTCTTCACAAGTTGTTTTTTCTTTCAACAGTAACCGGAGTTCAGTGTAATCATTTGATGATGGACGACTCTTCTTTCTCCAGAATACCATGTTCCTTTGTTGTCATCAATTGATTATCTCTCCAGATAGTGAAGTCTGTAAAGTCTGCAAACGATGGATGTGGGACTTCTCAGTTTCTCAGGCTAGCAGAACGAATGTGATGTTGTCCATGGGGAAACTTTGCATTAAAATTCAAATCCCATAATCAAGGAAGTTTTATTATTTTCTATCCCTGATCGGGTTTCTTTGTTGATTATTGATAAGAGTGGAAATCTATTCTCTGAAGGCATATTTGAACAATAAAAATCTATGGAGTTCATTCAGTTTGTAACGTCATAAATTTAGCTTTTTCTCCAGTAGATTAAATAGGCCAAGATTAATACAGGTGTAGCATAGTAGAAGAAACGCCTTTTTTCACGCTTAGGATTAAATTTCATCTGTAAAAATGGAAGGATAAGAGATCAGTGGTTAACTTGATATTTTAAATTATACATTCTAGAAAAAAAACAATTATTTATAAATAAGTCATTCATGAAAAAGGGGAAATAATAAATAGAAATGGATGTTCCTTTTACTGGAATTATCTGATTTCTGTTAGGGGGAACTAACGATGCACTCTACTATCAGTCATTAGAAGTTATGATTTTGAGGGGGGGGCACTTTAAGCAGGTGTAAATTTTTATAAGTGCATACATTTTTAGTAAAATAAAAGTTTTGTAGTGTTTGAAAGAGGTCAAATGATGAAAGCACTTATCTTGGACAAGGTAATGAGACTTGCCTCTCGTTTCAAAAATCGTATACTTTCTTTTTTACTGTATTAGATTGGATTATTGATTGAATGAAGCATTTGAAGACAAGTGGAATATCCTTAGGTGTGGTTGTTTGCAAATTTGGTTCTCTAACTGATGTCAGCTCATGATGAAACCCTGTAGCCAATCAATCAGATCCCTACAAACCAATACTTGAATATCAATGAGATGCTCACTAGCGACTGGCCCTATTCAGGCGGTTACCTGGGGTTCTAGTGGGAAGTCATGACCAGTAGGGTACAGGAAGTCAGGTATGAGGACAAATACTCGCCAAAGTAGTCGCGCTATATCGTGGATTGTCAGAAGTTAGAATTCATGGGTTGGCCATTGGATCGGGTCCCAGTGGCTTGTGACCAGAACGTCGTGGTTTCGACCCCTGGCGGTGGATGCGTACTGTGAAGAGTCCGAAACTAGGACGAAACAGCTGTCCAGTACTCCCAGGTTTTCCAATGGTTCTCTAACCGATGTCAGCTCAAGATGAAATCCTGTAACCAATCAATCAAATCCCTACAAACCAATACTTGAATTTCCGTTTTAGTTGTTTTACCCCGTAACAGTGCAAGTGATTTTTCGTTAATTATTGTACAACTGAATCTGAACGATTGTTAATTCACACGGGTTTCTTTTACAGACTTTTAATCATTCAAAAGTGAATGACAGTAACAGTGAACAAATAAAAAAGTCTACCGAAGGTGAAGGTTAAACATGACACATGATCAATTACACAGGTACCATCTGATTATTAATTATAGGTGTGTTTAAACACTACTGATCTAGAGATAACGCTTTCAAACATGAAGGTCAAAAAGTTGTGAAATCCTTACTAAATAGTCCCAAACCCATTTTTTTTTAGTTTAGTTAACTCCTTAAATTATGAAATCTTTACATAATTTTTAATAACCTTTATTTATTGACTGGCTATTAATAACTGCAGTATTGATTTCCAGCAGCATAGCAACAGAAAAGCCAGACAATCAAAGGATTGAAAGGACACACTATTTATTCATGAATTTTGAGTCAATTTCAGTACTTTATTATGAAAAAAGAAATGAACAACAACAACAACAACAACAACAAAATACTCTTCCAAAAGCATGTTAATTGTGAGTGGTTATATTTGTTACCTACTACTACCTACCTACCTGTCTAACTGACTGTAAAAATGAAAAAAAAAGTGACATTTCGATTCCCTAATGGTATTATGCTGAAATGCCGGTTGTCGAAGTGTGAATTATATAGACTAGATATATATTTAATTAATCCGATGACTGACAGAATGGATATCTAGTTGACTTTCGGCATATTAAAGGTGTAATTAGTTGTGCTTGCCTTCTGAATGCGACATGTACTGAAATATTCTTTCAAATTTTAGTATGAGATGAGTAGACTAAATTATTTTGCAACCAATGATTGTTATATACATAAATCTTGGTTTGTTTCTATAGCTTAATGATTCATTATTCTCACTTAAATGAATCATCTACAGCTAAAGAACACTGAGAAACTTAAACAACATTTTTCTAGTGATAAGATTTTTCTGATAAAAGAAGAGAATGATATTAACTACTCAGCAGACAGTCATTGACTAAGAGTTCATCTTTAAATTACAGTCAAGTGTGCTCGTTGAACAACTTCTGTCAATCAAATTCTTATTTGTTATTAAAATTTGCATTCACTGAATACGGACGGCATGACAGCCTTCACAAACTAGATCTGTGACTCATTGGCTTAGAAAACAAACTGTTAGGCACAAAATGCGTCCCAACCTACTAACGATCCTACACTTAATATCTTATCAAAATCCCTCATGTAACAAGTGTGATTCCTAATTCAGTGAACTGTTTATTATAATTACTATAGAGCCTTCAATGTCAACTTAATGAAGAGTCGGACTTCGTCACATTACAAGTTTTCTTCGTTGCACTATACGTGGGGCGGTATAGCAATCTCCACTTATCCAAGTCAAAGTCAAGATAAACAGTGTTCTTTGAACAGGCCTTCCTGTAGCTGGAAGTAAAATCCATACGCTAGTGAGAAATATCACCATAATTTTACGGAACAGAATCTAGAAAGTGATAAAGACAGTTTAATACAGTCAGTTGTATAGTGAACAAGCTCCAGTAGACAAAGTCATTATGATGTTACTTAATTCAAAACTATTCTATTTGAAACCAATTTTTATCTGGACATCGGGATATTTATGCAGCTTGGATTGTCTTATTCACTTTAGACAAGTTTCGTAATAATAATAATAATATAATAATAATAATAATAATTAGTTGAAAGGTTTGAGTGTGACTTCGAATAACAACGTCAACAACACCATGCTGAGGGAATGAGAAAAGCTGTGATGCCATTCAACTAAAACGTTGAAAAATATGAATGACAATAGTCAGAGAAAGTGATGCACAAAACTTTGATATATATCGCAGTGATACTATGTTATTTATTGATCATAATTTGGTTTGAGAACAAAAAAAGTACAGCTTCATTTTGTGATGACTGACTGTTTTCAACATAGAAAGTAGAAGAAATGCATAATAGAGACAGTAAACAGGGATATAAGACAAAGGGAATAGTAATAACAAAGAACAATATAGTTTCATTGGAAATTATAAGTCACGAGGAGTAGATGCATCTGCGCCAGCCATTGAGAACGATTTTCAGCCATATCACCAATCATCTCTAGCCATTGGTTTTTACCGTCCCGAGGACCCCAACCAGGAAATCTACATCTTCCTACGTGGCTTAAACTAACTGTTGTGGATTTCATTGACTGATAAAGCCATGTTTTGGTTTGACCACCACTGCCTCTTTTTCAACCTGACCCTATGTCAGCTAACATTGCCCGCATCGAGGAAGGCGATGACTAGGCATACGTAACACATGTCCTAACCATCTCAGTCGATGTAACTTCACAGCCTCGTCGATTGATTTCCCCTCCTTACCTAGCACTTGACGCCTAACCTCAATATTGCTCACCTTATTATACCACTTAACACGGGAGATAGAACGCAGACACCTATGATCAAAGACAGCTAATCTTTTCATGTCTTCCACTCTCAATGACCAGGTCTCACACTCATAAAGGAGGACGGAGCGGACTGCTGAGCAATACACACGCCCTTTGGTCGATAGCCGGATATCACGTCTACGTCAGAGATGGTGTAAACTGGCATATGCGAAACGAGCCTTCTGTATCCGTGTTGAGATTTCGTCAGCGATCAACCCACTGGGGTTGGCTGATGTAACTTCTCAAATAAGTGAAGTGGTCAACATGCTCTACCACTTTACTCCCTGTTTCTAAGCTAGGAGTCAATGTAGTTCAGTCCAGTCCTGTAGCATCATCTTACATTTGGCGGGAGCGAATCGCATGCCAAACATTCGAAGATTGCTGCTGCTCAAGGTGTTCAGAAGACTCTGCATTTTGTCAGCGTCTTCACCTAGAAGGAGTATATCATCTGCATATTCTAAGTCAACGAGATTATTCCCTGGTAACAAGTCAATCCCTGAGTCACTTAGGGTTGATTCCATTAGTACATCTATGATGAAATTAAATAGAAATGGGGACAGTGGGCATCCCTGACGAACACCACTACACTGTTTGTCACCACTTCAGATGGCAATTAGCCGTAAGCCCTCACCTGGCTGCATGAGTTCAAGTAGAGTGCTTTGATCAGTGCAAGGCACTGACTTGGATTTTCGGATAACTGACCGAATTTTCACGTAGTACTTTGCACAGAAGTGTAACAGTTCAAGTTGTCACACTCCATGTACCACACGAAGATAGAGAAATACAAAATTTAAAGAAAAGATAAAAAAACAACACTATAGTGAGCAGAAGTGTACGGGAAAAAGTATGGTAAGATAGAGGAACATATATGGATTTAATCGATCTGGGAGGTTGCAAAGATTGGATGCATTTACGCCAAGGAGACAGAACCAACACTCTCCAGTCTATAGTTCTTAGCATCCCAAGGACCCTAACCAGGCAGCCTATACCTCCTTACTTGGTTCATACCAACTGTCAAAGACCTTGTGGATTGATGTCAGATTTTGGGTTGATCCCCTTTTAACTCTTTTCCAACTCAATCCTATGTCAGCTAACATAGCTGGTCGAAGAAGGAGGTGGCTCGGCAGGCGTAGCACGTGTAACTTCACAACCTTACCGACTGACTTCCATTTTTTATCCAGCACTCTGTACCTAACTTCAATACCACTCATCAAATTATACCACTTAACAGGGGAGATAGAATCTCATTTAACATATACATACAGTTGAATAGACTAATAAATGAAAAGAAATGTAAAAGGTTCACATTTAAGCACAGACTGTAATACAATACAACACAAGTGGGTAGACTATCAATAGATTAATGTCTAGCAAATTTATCAGTACACTCATAGCTTGTATATAGGTTACTCCAACTTACTTTGGAATCTGCACAATTCCGACTAGGGTTGTGTTTTGTAACATTTTTCACAAAGTAAAACTGTTCTGAATATGATATATTGTCAAAGTGATAAGGAAATTTATCATTGATTTCATCGCCAATTTCAGCGAGTTCTTTCGCTAGGGCATTTACTAGACTAAAATTGCGTTCATATTTGGACGATGTTGAACTTGTACTAGTCTTGTGTTCCATTTACTGTAAAACAAAGAACAAAACAAAAAAATTAGAAAGTGTGTATCTAACACGTCTACAGGTAAAAACGATTAGAAAGTAAAATACTCCAGGAGAAGGAAAAGTACCAGTGAGGTACTCTATGAGGACAAATACTGTCCTTAAGATGACAATATGTTTTTCAAGTATTGGTTTTTGTAGGGATTTTGTTTTATTGGTTGGGAGATTTCGTCATGAGCTGACATCGGTTAGAGAACCATTGGAAAGCCTGCAAGGAGTACTGGACAGCTGTTTCGTCCCAGTTTTGGACTCCGGGTGAGTACTGATGAAGAGTCTCGGATAGGACGAAACAGCTGTCCAATACTCCCAGGTTTTCCAGTGGTTCCCTAACTAATATCAGCTCATGATGAAATCCTCCACCCAATCAAACAATATGTTTTTCGGTATAAGGTGAGTGAGAAGAAAACTTGGGAAACAGTCATCCCCACTAACGTTTATCAATTATGCATCTGTTACGCTGAAAAAATTCGTACTTCATGTAGGAATTACATACTACCTCTACAAAAATGGCTACACATTACTATATATAATTTATAGACGTTATGATAACATCTTTATCAAAAAACTTTAATGAAGAAGTTAGCAGAAACAATACCTTAGTCTATGAAGCTGCAGCAGTAGGTAACGTTGAATGAAGTATAATAATCCGTTCATCTTGTTAAACTACTTAATGATTCTCCATGATGACTACATTTTTAAATCCATACGAGTTAGATCCCAAAAAAAAAGAAAACCAACGTCAACTGGTGATTTGTTTAGCTAAATGGGTGAATGACCTAAATATTGAGATTTCCTTCCCTCTTTATTTGTTGATCATAAAAACCGGTCCACTGAAATCTTTGGTTTATATGAGTGGTTAGTTAGAAAATAAACTTAGACAGTCTGACCTCAGATCATTTCTGACCAATAGAATAACAGTAAACTTATGGATCAGAATTAGCTAAGCAAGGTCAAACTTAAGTCAGACTAGTTAGTATGACAGTGAAGTATTGTGTATTTTACCAATAGGTTGCAACAAAGAAGCACTAGATTTTTAGATCCATCGATTAGGAACTGACCTTACAATGAAGGCTAGGAATGAATTAACCTACATACTGCAGCTTAAAAAAATTATTCTTATTTAAATAAACATAAACATTTTATCCATTTGCTAAACACATGCGAAACAGGGAAAGAAAAGCAATTATTGTATTTTCTGATCTATTCATAACACATTCTGCTGTTGGTCGATACATAAATCATTGTTGCTATGACATCGGCTGAATTTATTACAAATAAATAAAATATATAGAAATTAGAGTATTTAACCTTGAGCTTACAGAAATCGATTTGAGCAATAAAATAAAAACAACAATAAAAGATGATAAAAATTGTTGAAACAGCTAGGGTAATCTATTCCTTTGAACAAGTTACGTTGCAATTAGTTAAACACAAGGTATTTCCATATTAGTTTGTTTATTAGGTATATCACACAGTGAAACAGTATTATTTACTGGATGACGTTTCATATCAATTGATATGATTATGCACAATAAATTTTGTTCGAAACGTCATCCAGTAAATAATACTGTTTCACTGTGTGATATACCTAATAAACAAACTAATATGGAATTACTTACTACCACAGTGCCCAAGTTTTACACATATATTAAACACAAGGTATATTTCGAGTTAAGGATCCCTAACTCAGAATTTAGAACACAGTTGATACTCTTATTGATATAAGTATAAAACTTGGGCACTGTGGTAGAGTATAATTCCATAATGGATAAGATTTTATTTTGATAAATCACACAGTGTAGTACAGTTATATTAATTGATGACGTTTCGAGCACAAACTATTGCTCATAATCATATCAAGTTGATACAGTTGATACTCAGTGTATCCAATAAAGGATATGTGTGATGTATGGGTTCAGCTAATTCAGTCTGATAAACTTTAAAAGAGTTAACATAAATTAAACCATTACTGTAGCATTAGATAGGTAATACAAAAATCCAAATCTTAAAATTTAATTCTTTAATCAAGAAATATGTAGATTTAAAACTATAATGAGACTTACGTAATTTCGATATAACTCCTGTTAAACTGTATTATCTATCAATGTAAACTGTCAAGTGTATGAAGCTTTGCTACTTTCAGACTAAACTTTTAAGTTACTTGATGTTTGCTTTTATTTTGACGCTTTAACTTATCAGACATGAGTAGAGACGAATTAGTTTCAGGTTGGTAGAACATTGTATGAGGGTGGGGAGAGGTTAACAAGAAATAAATATTATAATTTAACTCATTCTATGTGACAGTAACAATTGCTTGTTTTGTCTAAAAATAAGCCATGTGGGTAAGAAAGGCATTTCTGCAAAAAAATACACCCAACCGCGTTTATACACACACACAAACAAACAGGAATATGTGTTACAGAAAAGCTACTGTTCCAGTCTGTTATTGTGTGCGCGTAGTAGGGGTTAGGACAGACTTTATTTCCTTATTACGAAGTGAAAATAATACAACGAAATATTTGATTGGTTGGTTGTAAATTCGCGATATTAAAACTAAAGGGTGAGAAGTTCACTAAAACTGGCAACTTCCACTAAAACAACCATTTAGTGTGAGCAGGGGGGATGAATGAATAATGAAGTAGAGAATAAAGAATAATACAGACGGTGTCAGCTAACGGTGTAGCGACCAATCCCACCTGTTTTTTTAGAATGGCTTACCTTCTCCAGTATTAAGCTAATGTCTCCAAAACCCACAAGGTTATTAGGAATCTCTGACATGAGGGGTGACATCAAACTTGATTTAATAGAAATATTCATAGGAAGCACTAATCACATGTGAAGGATTTATTTTAGCGTATAAAACTGATCGTGAAATGATCTTATTTAAGAGAACCACTGAAACGAGTACAAAAAAGTTGTTTCGTCCTTGTTTAGGGCTCTTCAGGAGTACGAGCCTATGACATCACCAGGGATCGGAACTAGGACTTTTAGGCTGCAAGGCGAGGTCGTATACGATTAAGCAACTGGGATGCAATCCGATGGCCAATCAATTCTAACTTCTGCCAGTTCACTATAGATGACGGGACCATCTGCCAGTGTCATAGGCGAGTATTTGTCATCATGTACTCATCAATGGTTCTCTAAATAAAGTCAGTTCTTGATCAATCTTGAAGTCAATCAGATCCTTACAAAACCAACACTTTAAAAGTATAATATAACACTATAGCATTTCACTGGTTACTGGATATCTTCACCTGGAAGACAGAATAATCCTAATTACCAATCATTTTTGTAGTCAACGTGGATATTGACAACTTCTGTAAAGGCTTATATTTTAATAGATTAGTCATGACTCGGAAAAATTCAGAATAATTAGGAATATTGAAGAAATTCACAGTGAAATCAATACAGCAACCGAAATTCCAGCAGCTGAAGATAAATCTCCTGCTCATGAATAACTAACTTGGGACTGGATGGAGTTCCTGGAGTTCCAGTGGAAAATGATGACCTCTCGGGCTGATCTGTTCATACGTGAAAACAAATATTCATCACTGACAGCTGCATTATACAGCTAAATGAAAGAAGTTGAAATTCATGCGTTTTTGGATCTCACCCCACTGTCTAAATGGCAAACGTACTCGTCTTGTAGCTTGCAGATCCAGAGATTGTCTTTTAACAGTTTCCTCACAGAAGACTCATAAATTAGGATAAAGCAGTTGTAAAATATGTTTTTGTTTTCATTGGTTGTTTAGCTGATATTGACGAAATCTAGCACCAAGACAAGCAAATCCCTCCCAATCGAACTTATATAAACTAATTAAGGTGCTGAGCGGGAATCATAGAATCAATATTTTAATTCTTAATCTAACCTTTGCATCAGATCTGAATCGTTCTCGTGAGTTACTGACTCTATGGCTGACAATTCTACTTATCCTTCAAATATTCGGCAGAGATGATATCTGATGGCAAAACGGACAGTGAACATTGAAATCGAGTAGAGTTTGGACACTGTAGTGCACATCTGTATACCATAATCTTGCTGTTTTCTATCAACTGATTTGCTATTAGTGATATTGGTGGTAGTAGTTAGGTGAGAGATGTCTGCAAGACAAAATTGTAGACAACAATTTACGTGAATATTTACGTCCCGAATCGGGGTCATGAGAAAAGACAATAGCAAAGCTTAACCTTGAGGAACTCATCAACGAATCACAGCAGACTTAACGTGTGCATATACGATTCGCAGATATATGGGTAAGTATCTAAGAAACGGTCAAAAGCAGTACAGAATAACCTTCAGCGGGAAAACAACCAATCAGAAGACTGGATTCAATGAAGTACATTCGGTTATGAAATTCACGTGCGAAGAGAAATCCAAAAATAGAACTACCTTCCTGGATGTCCTCCTTACAAGAAAACCAGATGGTAGCATAAAAAGAAATTTGCATAGGAAAAGCACATGGACTGGACAATATACGCATTTTCATAGATTCGTTTCTCGCCAGTACAAGAGAAATTTAGTAAAGACCCTCAGCCACAGAGTTAGAGCTATATGCTCAGAAGAGGTAGTTGAGGATAAACTAGAGATTGTATATGATGCCTTGATTAAAAGTAGCTATCCCGACAAGTTTGTGAAGAAACACATGATAAAGAAAGCTGAAAAGGACTATTCACTATCCGTAAACAAGAAGCCTTTACACATACGGCTGAAATTCAAGGGTAATATACCTAGCGAAATAATTACGAAGAAATTTAGAAATCAGTTCAAAGAAGTTTTAATGCTGGCGAACTACACGTCTTATTCTCTACACGATCGATTGTGGTTTCTCGACTGAAAGATTAAGTACCTAGACTAGCCACTTCCAGTTGTATCTACCAATTCAACTGCGCTTGTATTGGCCGTTGCTCTAGGAACTTGATTTTTCATGCTCGCTCGAGAACATCTCCCACTATGGCTAAGTAAAGGCGTAGTAAAAACCGTCAACAGTTCAACATTAGAACACCTGGTTCAAACTGGTCACAAAGCCAGCATTGACAAATCCTTCTCTATCATCTACCAGGTACCAAATAAACTACCAAAACATTGAGGTGCCACATATTCCAAATAGCAGAGGCTATCTCGATTCGCCTGAAACAACTGGTTCATTGTGTACAGAAGGAACAAGTCCAGCCACTACTGGTGCCCCGACCTTCAGTAGAGATTATAAATTCAAGAATTTGTGTTATTATTTTTCCTAATTTTTCTGATATTCAATCAGTGTATTGTTATGTTGATGCTATCAAACTGTAATCCATTGATACTGTTGTTGATTCGATGTTATTTAAACAACATCAGTGTTGTTAATAACACTAATTCATTGATTCACTATTATATATATATATATATATATATATATATATATATATATATATAACTGTAGATCCTGATGATGAAGTTATCGAAAAGAATATTCTTTGTTCAGTATCCAATCAGAAGTGGTTGCTTCTCCGCTAACAATAACGCTAATAATAATGTACATAAAAACCCATGAATATCTCTTGATTTTCTCAATAAATGATTTGTTGCTTGGCCTTTATCTTCTGTCGTCACAGTAGTAGCAGTAATAGCAGTAGCACTTGTATGGGTGAATCTTTTTCTGTATCCTGGACCGATG